CCCCCTCACCGCTCCGCCATCCTGACAGCAGGCAGCGCTCCCTCCTGCGCCCCCCCTCGAAGGTGGGGGGGGCGTACGAGGGAGCGCTGTCATATCGGATGGCCAGCGGTGAGGGGGAGAGAAGCCGCCCACAGGACGAGCTGTGACGGCCGCACGGCACCCTTGTTGCCATGGCGCCCTGTGCGGCCGCACGGCTCGCACACCCCTAAGGCCGGCCCTGACTGTGACCCTAAAGAGAACTATGGGATAAAAAGGTTACCCCATAGTTCTTTTTTTAAGTATTTTCATTTGCCCATTCATTATACTTCTTTCCATCTTTCCTTCCTTTACTGAAACACTGAAAGACAATGTGCTGTCTTTTTCTGTTATCACAACTTACACTGTACTCTAAAATCTCAGACATCAAGGTTAGGTCCCACATGGGTGTATTGAGCATGCTGGGTTCTGTCTGCCTGGAGATGAAGGGGAGATCATGAGAGCTCTTATACTATGAAGCCGATTACAGCTGATGTATCAGCAGTTGCTTGCAGATCTTGTCACTACACTCACTGTAATTGTAAAAATAGTACAAACTGGTCACAAACAAGAAGATGCTATTTAACAACTGGAACAAATTCATGTTGCCTAAAAACCTTCTACTGGGTGGAGATTCATTTCAAGATAGACCCCTGGAACTTTACCAGGGGTCCATCCAAAGGGGGATATCTACTACTTCGATTCACACTTCATTGATGAACCACAATCAGATTGTGGAGTTGAGTAACTCTAAAGTTGTCCATACACTGGTAGACTTTCATACGAACATTCATGCGAAAAATATCATCCAAACATTCAATAATGACATCAGGCACATGAAAAATGTTGTTTTTAAATTTTGTTTGATTTTAACATTCAATTTTTGAAAGAATGGAGTTTCCAGAACGTAAACCACATTCACTGTTAGAATTTTGTTCATTCAAGAAAATATTTCCATCCTGTTTCCATATTTCATCACAACGGTCAAAAACAATCATCAATTTGGCCACATTAACTGTTAAAAAATTGAAGGAACGTCCTGAAAGGTATTTTTAGTTGTTACTGGTATATGGCCAGCTTAATGGGGATTGTAGCAGAACATAGCAGTATTTATGCTTTAAAGTAGTATTAAAGGCAGGGCGTTTTTTTTTACCTTAATGCATTCTCTGCATTAAAGTAAAAAATGCCCTGTACCTTTCTGTGTCCCTCGTCCCTCCCAACCGTACCTGTCAGCGCCACATGTAACTGTTGCCCGCCCCCGAATCAAACTTCCTGGTTGCGGGGGAGGAGATTATGGGCAGAGGAGCTACGAGAGAGGCATGGTCAGCCGCCAGGTTATGTGTGTCTATGGACGGCTGGGAACAAGCACGCACGGGTGCCTCCATAGCAGCAGTTAGCTGATGGAGGCACCCGTGCAGGGGACAGGGGGAAAGCACTGCGGGGACCACTAAAAAACGAGGAACTGAAAGATTTAAAAAAACCTCAAGATCTGAATCCCAGATGCTGCCATGTGAACAAATAAAAAAAAGAAAGATTTAAGGTCACTTTAAATGGATTCAATTTTGCTAGTAAATAAAAAATATAAAACAAACATTAAAAAAAAAAAGAAACCTAATATCAGACTGCTTGCTTCTACTTATTTCTCTTTCATTTCCAGAATAAAAACTACTGATTTGGCAGAATTTTGAATCCTACAAAACATAAGCGTGTTACACGTTCCTCTGGTTGCTGGTGTTATTATGCTGTGTTACATAAAATTCTGTGGAACAGAATGCTTTTTGGTACTAGTGACTCTTGAGGATTACTATCATACACACAAGTATAACCGTCCAAATATCTACCCTACCATACATACTGTATATGGGTCATTGTAATATAGCATAGCTCAACACTGATCATTTTTTGTAATTCATTTTATTTAGATGTCTGCTTTTTTATCCTCATCACGCTGCCCCTTGTCTGATCATGTGATACAACCTCAGTGGCAAAGAGCTTCATGTTTAGCCTATAACTATATATTTTTTTATATGTTTGTAGATGCTAGTGACAAAAGCATCATAATCAGCAAGATTTTTCTAAAGCTGGCCATATACAATGAAGGGAGTTTATTATAACTGGAGCAGACAAAGCTGGAGCAGTTGCCCAGGGCCCAGTGCAACCAATCAGCCTCACCCTGCAGAGATCTTCCAGCTCACAGGACAGCAGGCTAAGCACCAGCAGACTAAGAGGGTGGCTACATATACAGTTAACCCTCTATACACACAAACAGTATGTGTTTTTCAGAATTTGAGCAGTGTATGGCCAACTTAAGAACTAAACAACTTTTCTTAAGCCCTCCAAGCAACCTTTACCTCCAGTCTGAGAATATAGGGCCAGCCAACCCAAAAGTAATATTTTAGTTATAGGTAGAGCACGGTGAGGGAGCTGCTATAGTTCCTGACCCTTATTTTATCTACTTGGAAGTTTTTGGTGTTCCTGCCCAACCCACTCCTGTATCCCACTCCTTTGGAAACAGACCTCCCCTCCCTCCATGCCTCTGTGGCTAGGGCGAATTGTTGAACTCTGGCATAGGAAAGAACTGACAGCTACCCTGCATAACAGGGAGGAGAAGTTCTGAAATACCTGGAACACCTGGATGGATTTTTATTTCTCTGACGAGTATTCCAGTTTGCTGTCCCCCTCTGACTCTGAAACTCCGGAGGTGTAGGGCTACCCTTTGGGTGGTTGCCCTGATTTGGTTCTCTTCCTGGGTAAGGCCACCTGGTTTTTGTTGTTCTTCGGTTTTCTGTTATCTCCTGATGTGATGGATATGGTCCTTTGGGTTGTTTCCACCCCTTCCACACCCTGCTCCTCCCCTGCTCTCCCTCTTCACTTTTTCCTTTCTTTCTTCCCCTTCCTCTTCTTGTCCTTTTTCTTCAGCTCCTTCTTCCCCTTC